TGCTACTGCTACTGCTACTGCTTCCACCATCACAGTTGTTGCCATCACGATCACGACGACTGCAACGACAACAGCTACAACTGCGGCTGCTCGTTTTGCTGTCACTAAGAGGCTAGAGACATGTCGTAAGGCTTGGGCTCAGTGTTCAGATGCGTCAGGTCTAAGGCTCTGGTGCCGGGCAGGCTCATGCTGCACTGGTCCGGCGTCTGGGAGAAGGCGGTGAACCAACGAACTCCAAGGCTCATTCGCTGCACCTTTTCGTCGTTGTGTAATGTTTGCGTCTCACCGATCGCCTTGCGGCGGCGGCGCAGGTCTTGGTGTATGTGTGCACAGCTCGAATCCAAGTGCTGCCCATCCACATGGAAGCACGGTCGTGATTTTCTTGTACTTCATTCAAGCATCCGTGTACTTTAGGCGATGAGTTACTGTGGCGGACACGGAGATAGGCTAAACGGAATGCTCAGTGCGAAGCTTGGCCAGCACCGTAAAGAAACGTTGACTTGCCCTACGCCTAAGGTGCCTTTGTCATCGCCCTCTTGTCGGACAGAGCATTTTTCATCGACTCTCAGCGCCCTGTGCCGCTGAGCATGGCGTTGTCCTCAGCAGCCTCAGCCAGGCAAAACGCAGACTAAGTCGGTGGGGCAGACGGCAGAGCTCCACAAACTCCGCAGGTTTTGCAGCCGACACCCGGCGGACTTGATTGGCGAATGTTTGGTTCCCATGCGGCGCTGCCGGAGCGAGCCCCAAAGCGAAGCGAAGCGCAGAAACGCAGCTCTGGTCAGCTAGGCCGGCTTCAACCTGAACGATAACTTGGCGGCCTTCGAGCAAAATCCACGCAGCGTGGAAAGCTGAGCGTCTCTGCTTACAGAGGGCTCTGCGCTCTCTGTCTTAGTGTGCCCATTGGGAGCCTGGCTGTGGAAGGTTTTGGAGAGCCAGGAGAAGGTCATCAGGCTTGTTTCCAATCAGCGCCGATCGCTCAGTGACCATCCAGGCGGCAGTGACCAAAACTAGAGCTTCAAAGAACGGTAGATGAAACCAAGGTCTGACCGCTGCTGCGCTGCATGCGTCAGGGCAGCGAGCAGAAAGTCTAGGCGAGGCCAGGGCGAGGCAGCGAGGTCTGTGGTTCTTTCACATAGCCTTTCTGAGAGCGAGGACAGAGGGTGCTAGGGCCTGGCAGATGTCATAGCTGTCCCCCATGTTCACGAATTTGAGGCATGTCCTGGATCTAGGTTTGAGCCGTCAGCCAGCACTGCACTCGTATCTTTTTCAGATGCTCTTCGCGCCGTGCGACCCTTGGGAAATGAATGTATCGCTGATCGCACGACCACCACAATCCATCGCCGCACAGGTCTCCCGCTCTGCAAGCGCGCCTGAACGCGCGTGATCTGCCGGCAGGCCGCCGCATAGGCTGGATTCAGCTTCTTTGACATGTTTCAACGACTGGCTGGATTTTTAACCAGTCGCGAGATGGCCTAGTCGCAAGAGCAGCATCTGAAGGCTTGCACTTCCGAGCGGGGGATCAAATGCCACAGAACTGGAAGGATGCTCGGGGTGTTTGCAGTAGAAAGGCTCTGAAGAAATCTGAAGAAGACGAAGCTTTAACCGCTTTGCATGCAGGACCCTCCGCGCCACCCGCTCTCGGAGCTGGAGCGACGAAGAGGCGGGGAGAAGCCTCAGCCTCTCGCGCGAGTCTCCAGGACGAGTTCCTGGACTGTGCGGAGAGCCTTGAGAAGGATTATGGCCTTGCCCTGAGTCCCGAGTGTTAGGCGCGGCCGACCGTTTAAGCCTAGCATAGCTTGACCGTGCGTGGCGAGACTGGGATGCAACGTTCATCCTCTTTGCTGACACGGACAAAGTGCTGACGATTCCGCGTGTCCAGGACTGAATAGTATCTCGCATTGCATCAGCGATGCTGGGGCTTCAGTTTTACTGGAAGGGTAGTGCACTTCTGCGATTCTTCTGGTGGTCACCGCCCATTCGGACCTTCGTAGTTTCCTGAAGCCGTTTGCATTTGTGTCAGCTCTGCAGTGCCGTGTGGGAGCGCTGTCGCAGGAGCTCATGTCCGCGGGAAAGCTGGTCCATGGCCCAGCTCAAAGGCTGGAGTTCCTCTCGCAACGCTGTGACATCGAGGTCTGGCCCAGTGAGCCTGATGGCCTTGTGCATTTGGTGATGCGCTCAGCGAACATGGCGACATACCCGTTCCTTGCTTCCCCTCCTAACGTCCGTGCGTTGCAAACAATGCCAGCCAGGACCGATCGCCGGCGACACTTACCGCCAGTGCCTAAAGGGTAAATTAGAAGTCGCCCGGCATCTGACTCTATTCGCGCCTTGCGATTGCTTTGCAGGTCCGAGGGCTCCTTCAGACTTGGTCAGACTGGTGGACCTTGGCTTTTGATGTTGATGCCTTGGTCCTCTGCCACAGCGGCCGGGACCTTATCCGGCCAAGACCAGCCCCAACTTTGACTCGTGCAAATCGTCACGTGCTCTCGTTCAAGTCGAGGCTTCGGCGCGACAGCTTTGGAGATTGGTCCGAGACGCCCTGCTGCGATGTCCCAAGCACGGAATTTGCGGACGAGCATGTAAGGTGCAGGCCGGCAAAGGCTCTACCTGAACCTGGATCTTTGGATGCTCAAGCAGCCATGGCTGCATTGCACACCGTTTATGTAGGAGCCGACATGTTTCGCAAGGTTATTGGACGTGGATGCGTGCCTGCAGACGGAACCACAGGCCCGATGCTTACTCGCAACCTGCGCAGGGGTGACTTAGCCAGCTCTTGTGTGCTCAACATGCGCAGGGTGACACTCGCTGTGCCAACTTCGAGATTCCAGGGGCAAAAAGATAAACAAGCCTTGAGACATAGCTGCGACTTGTGCCTGTGGTCCTTCGCTTGTGCAGGACAGCGTTGTTACGACATGACTCCCACCGTAGCTGTGGCCTCTCTAGACCCTAGGCCCTAGGCGGCCTGCTTCTACACTTGGAGGTTTTCAGGGTATGTTCGAACCAGTGTCGAATATCTAGCCTTTTTTTACCCTCGGTTTTAGAGCCGTCCGATCACAATTCGGGCGTGTAGTCATGGACGCTCGATGTTGCAATCCTTGGCAACCTTTGGTGCCGGCGTATTCACGGGGCAGGGCCTGCAGACCTGCCACGCATCGCTTCCCCAGTGCAGCCTTGGCGAACAGGCCCTGTCTTTCCGCCCGCCTCGTCTTGGTCTTAGAGCATCCGGCGTCCAGAGAGAGCTGTGATTGAGGACAGGGCCCGGCTGTTGGTGCGCTGCCACGGTGCCCAAATCCCTTCGTTGCCGGCACCTGGCGTCCTGTCGCGGCAGCGGCCGCAGCTCAGCATCCGTCTTGGCGCCACGGAGAGGCAGACCGAGCCTCGCTAGCACAGAACCTAGCGAAACTCTAGGAGTGCCCAGGGCTAAGGTCTTCTGTGCATACGCTGTGTACTAATAGGCACCAGTAGAGGCGAATACTAGCAAGCACAAAGTTGCAAAGTTTAGTGTTCCAGATTCATCCGCGTGCTGAGGGGCCGGGAGATTTTATGGAGAGCGACAAGTTGTATGGGATGCCCGAGTGCAATTGGCGCTTCGGGGATGTGATGACGTTTCTCGTCACCTTCGACGATGTGCTCAGGGAGGGTGGCTTGCGCTTTAGCCTGCTTGCGAAAACGGACTTCCGATTCGGACCTCTGCAGATGGAGTTGGCACAGACCGTGGAGTTGGGTGCGGGAGCCCTGGACTTGAAGAATGCTTTGCTGACATGTGCACCCGTGCAGTCGCGGTCGCCGTTTGCCGGGCCAGCAACTGCTCGCTGCTGGGATTCGCCCGTGCTGCGGATTGACCTCATTCAGATGCAGTCTGCCTGTCCCCTGGACATTGCCGCCACAGCATTCGTGTCGGTTACCTACTTCGGAGATCCGTCGTCGCTTCTTCAGAAAGCCGAGAAGGCTGACAAGCCACTGCTGAAAAGGATAGCAGGCCCTTGCCTTGATCCCTGTCACTGGGCAGATCCCGATGCTCAAGGGAGTGTGATTCCAAGCTTTGCTGAGCCAGATTCAGAACAGCCACCTGATTCGGAGTACACCACCTGCGAAGTGCCCTCCTTCCTTTACAACAGCTGGTCACCGGAAGCAGAGTCTTTCCCAAGAGTGGCATCTCCGGCTGGGCGTGCAGAACACTTTGTTTGGCCAGGACCTGGGAGCGGGGGTGTCGACGTGAATGAAGCACAGGTGCACAATTTTCGAATCTCGCGCGACCTTACCGCGTCTGGGATCCCAACAGGAGCACGCAGCCGCGATGCCGAGATGCTGCGCACCACCGGGTTGAAGGGCTTCGCTGCAGGGAAGCAAGGCCACCCTCGGCAGAATTGTCAGAGCGTGGTAGATTCCCGAATTCATCCCTCGGAAGGCATTCAGAAGTCCCAAGATGGCCTCAGCCCTTCGACTTCGCTGCCGCAACCTCTCGTCGTCAAGCTCCGGCTGCAGCAGCCCGCCCCTGGGCCTGAAATGTCTGGAGTGTGGCCTTTGCCTGGTTACTTACTGTTCTTGTGCACACTGCATACTTGTCCCCGAGCCAGGTGCCTTCCACGAAGCTTGAATCGGATGGTGTGCCGACATGAAGCAAAAAACGGGCAGTTGCTACTTGTATGTGGAGCGTGTAAAGGGCTGCATATTTGCCAGGCGTCACAGCAAGCTGCTGTCAGTCTTGGAGACACTATAGTCGCAGTGGGTCAAGACACACGCAACATTGCTTGCATTTTGTGTCGGACACCATCCTTGCTTGAATGACATGTCGGGACGAACCTGCTTACATTGTCTCCATGGCAGGCAGAGGTGTGCTGAAAGGTATCCTTCCGCTTTTGGATTCGCTGCTTGCTTTCTGCACGGTTGAGAAGCATTTAGCTTCAAGAGATGGTATGACTAATGCACAATGGTCTTTCCGCACCGATCATGGACGGATGAAGCAAGCGGCATCCTGGGGTTGACACAGTTGACGTTGTACGGGCGGACTCTCGTAGGCAATTCTTGCAAGCAGGATCTGGGACGAAAGTGTCACGAGCAGAGAACCGAAATACAGTCAAGCCATTCTCGTAACGGTGGCTTTGCTGACCAGCTGCTTTTCGCCTCATGACTTCAATTACAAGATCTTCCATCCCGCTCGTTTGCAGTAAGCTTCTCAGCGATGTTTCCAAAGCTGCAAATCTTGTCATCTTGGCCCGTGCTTCGGAGAGGTTCTGCCCCCAGAAGGCTGGCTGCGACCGTGCCTCTTCATCGCAGTTCAGGAGTTCAAGGAGTCATAGCAGTGCTGCCGGCAAGCCCAATTTCCCTTCAGATGTCTGAAAAGATCTTCAGGACTGTCCACGTCGCAGGCCAAAAGACGGGCTTCCACCGCAAATCTCGTTCGGTCCTCCTTGCATGATTTTGATTCGGAGTGGAAGAACTCATGGGCTCTGTTGGCATGAAAGCTGGACCGAGGCCGGGCGAGGTTTGGGGTGGACCCATTTCCGAGAAAGTCGGTCGATACCCGAGATGGCTTGAAACATGACTTTATTGATTGCCTCATGATGCATGGATGTAGACACAAGCTTTCAGTCCCAGTCCGGGTCTTCGAGGCTCAGCGCCTTTAGATTGGAAGAGCCTCGGCTTCGAGTACATCCCGACCAAGTCACACATTCGCGCGCAGCCGTAGAGATGCTTTTTGTCATGAGTCAGCTTTGCTGCTGAAGTCTCAGACCTTTGCAGCATGATGCTAAGGCTTTGTGAGTCTAGCATGTTTACTCAAATGATGAGCTGGAGACTCTGATGCATTGCTGTGGCACATGCCAGACCTGGAAGAACGGGGAGTGGAACACTGGCCACACATTCAGGGATCCGTGCGATGCTCAGAATGCAATGCCGCAGCAAGTCAGGCTTGAACCAACATGGCAAGTGGTTTGGTGTAGGTTCCGCAGAGGTACTTACCCGTTCACATGCTTGCCAATGTCTTCCACTATGGCCAAGCCCTCTTCGAAGGCTTTAAAGGCTTGGGCCGCAATTCTGTTGTCACATACCCAACAGTGCTGAAGAACTTGAACACACAATTAGTTATGCAACAGGCTTGGTTCACTCCCGTGGCAGGCTTTCATACAAAGCAAGGGGATGTATGCCTGTTTGCAGACCGGTTGTGGCTCCCTCAGCAGTCCAACACGTGAACCATGGAAAACAAAAGGGGCACATTCAGAAATGCAGGAGCTGGGCGCGCATGAACCACGGATGTCGACGCTTCCGAATACCGGAGGCGGCCCTTGCTCTGTGGTAGATGTTGCTCCGGCTAGAGTGCATCTCCTTTATAGGATCTTGCCGTCTGTCTGCTCGTCCACTCCACCAACACCTGCATCCGCTTTTGCTTGGTGGTACAGTAGTCTTTGTGAAGGTGCCCGTGCAAGTTTGGGATCGAGCTGTTCACGATGCGGTGGTGCCCTTATCGAGAAACCTCAGCCCGAGCGGGCAAAGATGGCAGACAGTTTGTTCGAAGACACTGAGTTCAAGAAAGAAAGTCGAGGTCAAGGACAATGTTGCCTACGTGCCACCGCACGGTGCGCTGGGGAAACAAGACTTTTGAAGAGCCAGTAGTTATGGTGTTATGCTGCATCAAACGAGATGACACTGGGCCCGGTCCTTTTTGCATGCTTAGTCCGGCTTGGTATTTTGCTAATGGCTTTGCCATAAAGACGAGGACATGACCATTATCTCAGGTCAGGTAAATTTGTTCAGAGAGGCACAGATTCAATATGCTAGTCATTCAGAACTCACAGCTTGGCTGGCCATGCTGACTCTGAAGCCCCTGAAAAGCTGTTGCTAGTTGCAAGCAACGTTTGCTTGTACTATTTGCTTGGCGTTTCGCTTACCGCAGTTCCAACTTTCGATGACCTCCGACAGCTGTGTGAGGAACCAACGGAGCTCTTTACGTTCGCCCCTTCATCTTCGGGAGCGGTCCAAGGCTTGACCGGCCAAAGTACGGCCGAGCGTGGGAGGCCTCGACTTTTCTTGCAGAGGCTTGGCCTGGGCCCTTCCCCGGAGTACACCTTCGTGGTCTTCGTGAACCCGGCTCGGCACTAAGTTGCAACGCTGCAGAGACATTTTTCCAGAGCAGCTGCACGAAAGGTTGGCAGCTACTACAAGAACGAGGAGGGAGCAATGCAAGCGCCCTGCTCAGCTGCGTAAGCGACACGAATCGAACAAAAGCGTGTGGAATGGGATGGCTAGATGGTCTGTGAGAGCTTCTCATCCGATTCCTCGTAATCTCCTGCCGGCAGGCCCTGGATGGGCTTGTGAATGACTCTTACGACCGAGCTGCACCTCTCGGGCGTCGTGGTGGCAGATTCTATCTCCAAGATTGGGCAATACACACCGCTTTTGACAGGTGTGGAGATTGCAAAGCTGCTGGGAACTATGCTGCTGACCTCGAGAGTATGTACACATCGAAAAGGACCAATTCTTTTTGCCCAAGCATGTCGTGGACTTGTGTCGCTAGGCTGTAGGTTTTGCTCGAGTGCTTGTGACAGGAAGGGTTATCCTATCAGCCTGTACCTGGATGCTGTCGAGAGACGGTACATCGAGGAGTTTAACACCTCGAATTTCGTGGCCATCACGAAGGACGCCGTGAAGTTCATGTCTTTGTGACGGCATTTTCGTAGGCTGGTTTTCACAAGGACGGGAAGTACATCACTCCAGACGCTCCCCGGAGCGTCTTGAATAGCAACACAAACAAGGCTGATGCGGATACTAGTACTAAACGCCACCTTCAAGTCCAAGCAAGTGAGCAGTGCAATATATCAAGCAGGTGTTGCTGCAGCTTGCCGACGACATGTCAATTCCGGTAGAGCTTGACACTGAGAGAGCTGCTGGCACAAAGTTTTGTCAGATTGGACACCGCATCGGTGCCCAGGCGCCGTCGCATCGACTTTGAAGCTGAGGCTTACAACAGCATAGCAGCATAGCGGTGCAGCGGTCAATATAATTCATTTAACTTCCTCCGACCTGTCTTTTTCTCTATCCACTCCTCTTCATTCTGCTGGCTTCCAGGTTGACAACTTCGCAGAAGTCGGAGCTGTTGGCACTGCTGTCGTTGTCACGCCCATTCGGTGCGCATCTCGGATGTGTGCAGCGGCTGCGAAAGTCAGAGCATGCTCCGAGTGCGTAGATTCCTCTGATACAGATGTCAGAGCCGGGGCACAGGGCACCGTGCACTTTGCTGAACTTTGCTGCTGATGTTTTCAACTGAACTGGCAAGCATGTCAGAGGCAGGCACTTGCATCGATGTTGCGTTTAAGTCTTGTGGTCCATGCATGTCCATGCCGAGGTCCTTGACACGTGGAGATCGGACTTGGAATTTTCAAGAGCCTCAGGCCATCTCCTGTAGACATGGCGGAGCACACATATTGCAAGCAGAATCAGTTCGGAGCTATGGTGGACTTGCATGGATTTGTTATTTTGCAAGGTGCTACGCCAGCTGCGAAACAGGCTCCCTTCGACTGTGTTCTGTGGATTCCTGCAGGTTCCAGAGTTGCCATGACCGGTGCATCGCAGGGTACGGGCGATCCAAAACGGCGAGGTCAAAGACCCGTGTGGTACCAAGAGCTACTTCTTTCAGCAATGCCGGCCTTACAGTAGCAGACAAAGTGCTGGTTGGAAAGCACGGCCAGTGTGCTGCCAGAGTCACTTGCCGAGTCATGGCTGGATGCGGCGAGTGCAGCTAGAAGACGTCGGGGCCCAACTTTGGGCGCTGCTGTATAGCCTGAGCTATGGATGTTGGATGGTGCCGAGGCACCGCCACAGTCGTTCCTCAGCGTCTACCCAGGTCGGCATAGATGTGGCTGCTCATGCGGAAGTGTGGCCGAATCGCAAGGCCTTTGACATTGCAAATCCATCGGGATGAGGTCCTTCCCAGCAGTGTACCTGACAACGTGGTATGTGCACACACTGTTGTATTGGCAGGTTTCAGTTCTTTCTGAGCGATTTTAAATTTGTTTGAGAAGTTTGTTCGAATTAGTTTTGGAATTGCACGGCTTTTGCTCACTGGCACGGCTTCAGAGAAGCCCAATTCGCGTCGTTCTCACGAGCAGCAGCGGCGGCTCCGGACGGTTGGTCCACCGCCAATATTCGCAGAAGTTACTGCAGTTCACCAACTGTTATGGTGGCCGTAACTTTGGCTGCGTTTCCTGTGGTCTACCATGCTTTGCGAAATAAGAGCCGAGGAGAGCTAGAAGTAAACCTGACTGATGCAGCTGAATGTATGCATTGCGGTAAGGATGCTATGTTGTTTTCGAGCTTTCAGGCTGGGTCACAAGGAAACAGACATCGTATCTCCTGAAGTAACCTGAAGTACTTTGTCGGCATTCCCTGATGCACGTGATGACCGCAGCAGCAGCAGCAGCAGCAGATCGAAATTACTCAGATTGGAGTGCCAAACATTCTAGAGCTCGCACACTTTCGCATCTCCAGCAAGTGCTTAATATCTACATAGCATAGCAGTTGTTTGTTCACCTCAGCCATGTCGCTTTTTGCGGCGAGTCCGACCCTCGGCAACCTGTCTCTCGGATGTGTGGGTCAAAGCTTACCCACCAAAGCATGAGTGCACGTTGCAAAGGCTTCGATACGCTGAAGAAGCGGACCACGCAGCTATTGGATAATCTGGACAAGCAAAAGGAGCGAGCTGGGCCGGTTTTTCCCATTGGGCCACACTTGGCTGATCTCGCGCTTGTCAGGATGACAAGAGTGCGCCGGAGACACAGGTAGCGGCTTTCCCAGGGCTCCCGCTAGTTATGCTAGCATGTCTTTCTTATTGCAAGCCTGTTGAGAAGGATCTATCTCCTTCAGGCAGCTTGCAGAACAACTCGTTTCTCCTTCCCAGCCCTGATCTGTGGGGTGGTGGTTTTGGCGTTCACTCCGCAGTGCCGATGTGGGGCGGAGGATTGTCAAAGCGGGATATACATGTGCTCATTGTCTCAAGTTTTGGCAACCCTCTCACACGATCAGCTACTGCATTTGTAGATATTCCAGCAAGTCAGAAAATTCGGCAGCTTGTCCACTTGGAGCAACGCGCAGCAAAATACCACAACCCTTACTTCAAAACTCCCTGGTTGTCTCAGCCGGCCGCAGTCAACTCTTTGTTGAAGCAAAGGCGAAGATACAAGAATTCCAGGCAAGCCTAAAGCGCCGGCACGGCGACATCCTGCTTGAACTGCCTGGTGCAGGACTCTGGCATCGACATTCCGTATCCTCAGGTGGCGGGACATGTCTTAGAGTCGTTGAAGTTGCGGCAAGGTGGATGTATTTCAACCTTAGCTGCCTTAGCTCATGCGACTGTAGTCAACGTGCATGGCATCAGACTTGAGGCTTATACTCAATGCCTGCAAAGGCACAATGCCTTACACGCTAGCATAAACCTCAAACAGTGGAAGATCACCCAAAGTGTAATGGCACGATTTGAAGAAAACACCTGCATCTTATCCGAGCCTGGTCTCCCTTGATCAGGTGGCTGCAGCAATGGGCTGTCGTGAGGACAGCATCCTCGTGAGCTACGAGGCCGGATCCGGAGACATTTCGTGATCACTGTGGGACCTGTCTCCGTGCTGACCACTTCAGGTTCAGAACGACCCCAAGGATCGCGAAACGGCCCTGTACGTAATGCCCCTGGGAGCACCCGGCCTGGTTATTGAACAGCGCGAAGGCTGAGGCCTGTGATGCTTGTAGGACCCTCCTGAGATGGGGCCAGAAAAAGGCTTGAAGGGGAGTGGCACATCTAAGGCTAGAGGGGTCAGACAGAGCCACAGGAGTCATTGGTTGTGCATTGGGACTTTGGGGGAGGGTTCAATTTGGAGCTTTCTGTGTCATTTGGCACTGCCAGGAGGGGCAATCAGTGTCACAGTCGCGATGGTCCGCCACCTTTAATGTGGATCACAGTGGGTGCTGCATGCATTTCCGCACCTGTATTGCTGCATGATACATTCAGGTGCGGGCTTCGTTTCCATTGCCTGGCAATTACCATCTTCGATTCAAGGTGCTGGAAAGAGTCGCGGTCGGACTTCAGAGCCTTTGCAATCCCCCGTTTCAGCCATCAGGCGCCAACAGCAGACGGATCCTTCGGCGGATGTGTGTGGATAGACCTAGCCGTTGCCTGAGCTTTGGATTTCGGCCCGGCTTGTGCATCCCAAAACACCAGACCGCCGCAGGCCTCCGACCAAGACCTCGTGCCAGTGTTCAACGGCGGCGTCGCCGTGAAGGCTCCTGGGCCCAAGAGTAACGAAACTTGGCCAACGTGAGAGCCTGGACTTGTGAAACTAAGCCTATGTCTTTTTTTCTCATGCTTACTATTACGTATATCTTGTGACTGAGTTTTGCGAGATCCAACGAAAGGCCTTGCGATTGCCGGATGGCAGCCCTGGCAGCCCAAGCCGCGTGGTGGCCCCGGTGCAATTTGCCATGCAGGGAGTCATGTTGGAATTCGACAGGCTCCATCGCAGGCTTCTAGGAGTCGACCTGCCACCTCCGCCCAGGCCGCCACACAAGTCTGCAACTGAAGAGAGAAGAGCCTATCAGAGCGAATACAGGGAGCCTCTCCACACGGCGTTGGGGACCTGATGGAGCTGGACCTCTCCAAAGGTTCGCACAAGGATGCCCAGGCCCAGGCCAAGGCGCCCGGACCCCAACCACCGGCCTGGGCCCAAGCTCTAGCGATGCCCAATGCAGTCGACATCAGTGGAGCCTGGAGCTCGCTTGAAAGGTGCAGTTGGACAGGGCAAAGCTGGCCACTCCCTGAGCTTTGCACACGGAGTAATTGGCCACTCCAAGCTTTCCCGATGAGAACCCGTGTTAAAACGCGGAATCAGAGCCGTAACGTGCAGAGAGACGGCAGTTGGTTTGCGAGGCCTTTTGTTGTGTAGCATGCATGTGCAGCACGCGCATGTGTGTGCGTGTGTGTGTGTGTGTCTGGGTGTGTGTGTGTGTGTGCGCGTGCGTGTGAGTGTGTGTGTGTGTGAGTGTGTGTGTGTGTGTGCGCAGTAACATGCGGTGGATATCCCGCTTGGGCGGCGCTGGCGGCGGAGATGACGATGGAGGACAGGATCATTATCAAGGTGAAGTCCGCTGCTTCGACTGCTAGGAGAGACTTCACCTTGATCAGTTGCTCGTACTGACACCATCAGTAAGCAGCATAGCACCTCCACCAGGGCCTTTGCTGATACTTTGGCACAGATATTCTAGCTTTGACCGACTCCTGGTGCTTTTCCACTCCCCACAACTTCAACAGCATCTCCAATCTCGCCGAACTCAAAGCCTTCGTTAATAAGTCAGCTGGTTGTACATGAACTGGACAATATCCCATGTGAGAACTGCTCTTGCAACCAGTTGGCCTTGATACGTAGGTGCTTAGTGCCATGAGCTTGACCCTGAACTCCCCAACATCGGCGTTGCTCACTATGCATGCTACATCGACGACGCCGTCACCCGACGACTTGGCGGCCCACATGAATGGCCTCCTCCCTGCCCGGCCGCGTAGCGGCGACCTTGGTGCACCGCCTTCGGCTTGGGCGAATCAGCCACAGTGGATGTAAGGCACCGCCGGAACGCCGGACGACGCAGTCTCCGGGTCGGTCTTCCTGGATGAGGAGAATGACTGCGAGAGTCGTTGCTTGCGGCCCGTCATCGTCGAGAATGGATATGCCACAAAGGTCATTCCTGCGCCTTCTCGGGCCCCTACCGCAGCCCTTTTGGCCCGGGCTCGAGGCGGACGACGACGCTCGACACAACATGGCTCTGGTGCCGGTAATGCCACTGACTCTGTCGACGCGATTGAATGCCAAAACGACGCCGTGTCCAGGGAAGACTTCGGCAGAGCATGACGAGAGGAATGGACCAGAGTCCACGGCCCCCACGACGAGATCTTGCGCATGTTTGCCAAAGCGGTCGGCGGCCGACGAGCTTGTCCTGGTGGCGCAGGGCTTCACGATTTTTGAGCCGGTGTGATGTGGAGAGATGTGGAGAGGCGGTGCGCACGGCAGGTGCAGAATGCGCCCCGGCACCCGTTTGCCGTTTCAGCCTGTTTCTTCGCCGAACGGCGTGTTACTAATACCACACAACGAAAAGAAGTGTGTGGGTTCGGTTTTGGTTCAACATCGATCGGAGTGCTGCGCATGTTGAGGAGCACACGTGTGTGCGCAGTAACAGTGGTATCAATCCGGCACGAACGTCGTTAGCTTTTCCCCCGCCCTCACCACCCAAAGCTGCCTTATCGGCGGACAGCGAACGACTGCGGGCCAGGTACAGAAAGCGCCCCGGCACCGGCTTGCCGTTTCAGCCTGTTTCGTCGCCGAACAGCGTGCTACAGCGCTATAATACCACACGAAGAAAAGAAGTGCGTCGTGCAAGTACGGTTTTGGGTTCAACGTCGGTCGGAGTGTCCCGCATGTTGGTTTTTTGGGTCCACAGTAGCAAGACTATGATGCCAAATTTGTCATCAGGTCGCCGAACGGCAAGCCAGAGAAAAGCGCGAGTACGAGGAGAAGATCAAAAGGTGCGCACTCCAAATCCCAATCTTTTGCTGTGCTATTCTTTCTGTTGTCGTTGCGCAGAGGCATGAAGAGCAGAAGAAAAGTTGCCCGATGGCAGATCTGGCAGCATCCTTTCTAGCATGCAAAGCCGGTTTGGCTGGGCATCTAAGGAGATGCACAGTCCAAGAAGGAGAAGCTTGAGCTCAACGATGTCCTGTCTAAGGAGTTGAACGACTGGGCCTGGACCTCATACCTGTTAAAAAACGTACAAAGTTTGAACCTGTACAATGTTTCAATGTTTTGTGGCCAGAAAGACGTGAGCACTCCAAGTGTGAATTTGGGGTCCTGAACGGCGGCTTTCTGATTACCCGGCGATAATTAGATTTCTGATGAGTATTGTAAATGGAAGCACAAGAAGGCGAGACACATGATGACCAAAGAGATCGCGGTTACTTCGTGGTGAAAATGTTGTACGAAGCCACCATCAGCATTCAATTAAGTCTGGAGCAGGGCTTTAATAACAAAGAGTCTTTCGCCCTGAAGGGCAAAGGTCGGTTTTGGGAGGCCAGGTGTGGGCTCGGCCGTCGGCTGTTAGATGTCAGCCGCACAGGCAGTCTTTTGCTGGTTCAAGGCTGTTTTTCGTGGACATGTTGCCAAGAAGTTGATGGGTTTCTGGACTAACACTCGTTCGAGCGAACATATTCGTTAGCGGTTGAGGAGGGGGCCTGCCTGGGAAGGTCCGGATGTGTCCCGGATGTGCTCTTATCTTTTGTTGTGAGCAGGGCAGAAGGGCCTGTCGAAGCCCTTTCAGAGACCTGCCTTTCACTTGTCTCGGCCAAATGAGTCACCTGAGACGGGTTGGGTAGATTCCGGCGGTTATCGAGCCACATGGACGGGTGATTCCCATGAAAAGATCAGGCAAAGACACCCGACGGCCAGTCCTACAAGGAGATCAGGAGCCATGCCCCGCTTGAGCGACTTTCGATTCTCGGCATGAGTTCTTACAGCTAAAGGACGCTGCTGAGCACCATGCACTCCGTCACTTGGGAGGGTGCAAGTCTTGAGCTCGGTGCCAACCACCCTTGAGTCCATAGGTCTGTCGGAGCATGGTCCGCTCAGGTTGGCAGCCCCTCAACTTATCGGAGTCGACCTGCCACTGTTAATCTGCTCTTTGCTCTCTTGGCCACTGTCTTCACTCATTCACAGGTTGGTGGCAGACAGCAACATCAAGAAGTATTATCGCAAAGCAATCCTCATGGCTTCGCACTCAGCCTTCGAAGCACTTTGTCACTTCTGGCAGCCGGTATGTGTGCAAGGGTACCGCAGTCTTTGATTAGAACAGGCTCATCCAGATCGCCATCAGTCCGTCAGCTCCCAAAACTGCGAGAACTCCCGTTCGAACCCTGCGGCCATGTCATGCGCCGCGGTGCTACATGCATTTGCTGTTGCTCAGAGGAGTTCAGAGTTCACACTGCTCCGTCTCAGTCTCTCTTCCTTCAGGCCAGTTCGGAGCAGCAGGTCCGAGCAGATCGCATCTTCAATGCCACGTGCTTACCCGGTGGTTACATGTGGAGCGAATCTGTAAGTGACGGTCGTGAGGTGGTCACAAGTGACGGTGTTTGACTTGCTAGTGCTGGTGGCGGAGCTATTTTTGACCAGTTCGATTGCTATTGCCACTTGACTCAGGCTTTGAACGAGTCCTTCAAGTCTTTTACCAGCTCCTGACATGCTTGCAAAATGGTTACCTACTGCCATGCTTTTTTGCTTGTGATGACAGCTTGCCGGATCTTAAGAAAGTCTTGCGTGGGCACATTGCTCTGCTCAAGCGGTAGCGTGCCATCATCATCGTCCGGGCATAGAAGCCACAAGCAAGACCCATCATGGACATCGACCTGCTCAACCCCGATGTCAAGGAGGAAACCAGTGTATTTGTAGGTCGTGTCTGTCGGACGTCTGTCAGAGATAGACTTTCGGAGACACCCTCCCAGGAGAGGTCCAAGCACAAGCTGAAGCGCATGATCCAGTCTCCGAGCCGCGGCATGACCTGTGGAGACGAGCGCAAACTTGTGTTTATTTCCCGCACTTTTGTTTTCTGATCCCGAGAGTCTTGCGTTACAAGGAACAGCTTCTTCATGGACGTGAAATGCCCTGGGTGCTTGCAGATTACTACTGCCGCTCGGCTGCAGGGCTGCCACAGAATTGCAATGCCACTGTGTGTGTCTGTGTGTGCTATGCGTGACTCACCTAGGTCTTCAGCCACGCTCAGACCGTCGTGTTGTGCGGCAATTGCAACGTGATGTTTCTTGGCAAGAGAGCTGCAGCAACTCATGTAACTTCTCCGATCGTTCAACGACGAGAGGCTTTGCCAGCCCACAGGTGGTCTTGCCCGGCTTACAGAGACTTGGCAGGGTGCTGGCTTTGTCGAATGTCACGTTGGTTCTCCGGTGTTGCTGCAGCAAGTGCTGTTTCGATCTTGAGCGACTCATCAGGAGGGCTGCTCGTTCCGAAAGAAGGCTGACTGATGAGATGTCTCACTGTTTGGATGGTTGAGCTGATGGGATAAACGATGGTGCAGGACAAACAGACAGGCAAGCGTGCAGCTGGGGCTGGGTCGTCTTGACATCCTTCTTTTGAGATCTGCGATTAGGCCGTTTGTGTGTGTGTGTGTGTAGGTAGGTATACAGATATATGTACATGTATATGTTTATGTACATGTTTGGGAGTGGAAGTCCATGTATGGGACAGAGGTTGGCGAACCCCTTTTTTCAAAGCTTCATCGCTGCAGGGTTGTTCAGCCGCAAGCTATTGGGGAATTGCGATTTCCGGGATTTTGGTCTGAAGCTATAGGGGAATAAGACTTTACAAAGGCTCCCCTAGCGTAAAGCTATTCTGGGAATTGCACTCCGCAAGTCTTCGTTTTGTGTCAGAGTAAGTCTCCATGAGAAGCCTATTTCTTCTGGATCGTTTATCGTATTATGGGATTCACAACAGGGTCCATACTTGAGTTGAGTGAGTGATATAACACAGGGGCTTCATGAAGCCAGACATGCGAAGGGCGATGTAGTTTGTATGACAGGCATGCACCCCCACAAAAATTCAGGCTCGAAATCAAGATGCCAAGCTGGTCTCGAACACCAATACTGACAAGCGAACATATATAGCGGCATATTGAGACCATATCTTTTGGACTTAATGCGGCGATACTCTACACTCTTGTGATTCGGACAATCCTTAATTATTGTTTGGCATGAATATATTAACTTCTCTTTATGATTTTAATAAATATTATAAGACTTGTAGGGAGAAATATTTAGAATATGGAATGGTGGAAATCGATGTATTATAAATTGGTTTAGAAATGAATATATTTTGCGTAAATGGTTGAAAAAATTGTCTAATATAATTATTACGATTATTTTAATCTTAAGCGTTCCTAGTAATAGCGGGCGTTCTCTTTTACTTTCTTTATATTATCTGATTTCGTTCGAAGAAAAGGTATTTTTATTTGTTTGAACTATTTTAATTGTAATTCTATTATTAGGCTTTCGGGTTTGGCGTGGTCGGGAATTTAGACTTTAGGATTTACTCTAAAGCTTAAAATTTTAAACCCTAAACCTTAAAACCTTATTATTTTATATTTTTCTGGCTATGCACGAGGCAAGATCTTTAAAATATTTTAATTTGAATGAAATGATTGAAATAGATATAATGGTCTTATTATTTTAATTTTTTCAAAAAATGGTAGAAAAAATATGGAAATGGATAAAGATTATGATTCTGTTGTTGTCGGAGAAATCTAAAAGATTGAAACATTAAGAAAAATATTTATGTTAACTATTATTTATTTCAAGATGGATGAAATATTTTTAATATTCGTATAAAGATTGTTAATTTTGTTAGTTTATTCGTAATGGTATTAGTATTATATCTAGAAAATATTTTTATAGATTCGAAAGGTCTATATTATCGTCTCCTTCGAAATTTAATAATCTCTTTCGAGCGCTTTGCACCTTGTTCTGAAATTCTCTAATCTCTGTCGAATTTCTTTCGAGCGGTTTGTTCTTTCTTTCTTCTAAAAATCTCTAGCTCTTCTCGAGTATGTTCTCTGATTCTTTAATTTTATTCGAAATTCTCTATTTATTAGAAGGTCTGTTCTTCATTTTCAATTGCTCTAATCTTCTTTTGAGCAATTTATTCTTATTCTGTATTTTCGATCGTTTGTTCTTTCTTTCTAGATTCTCTAATCTCTTTCCAGCGATTTGTTCTTTCTTCCGAAATTCTCTGATTCCTTCCGAATAATTTGTTCCTTGATTTGAGATTCCCTACTCTCTTTCGAAATCCTCTAGTTTCTTTCGAGCGACTTATTTCTCATTCTCAAATTCTCGAGATCTTTTCGAGTCGTTTGTTCTTTATTTTCAATTTCTCTAATTTTTTTGAAAATATTTAGTCTTTTTCGAGCGATTTGCTCTTTGATCTGAATTGATCTGTTCCGTTTATTCAATATCTCTAAGTCTCTGTCGAAATTCTCTTGTCTCTTTCGAAGAATCCTTTATTCTGATGGAATATTTTAATTATTTTCGAACGACTTGTTCCTTGGTTTCAATTTCTTTGGTCTCTTACGAAAGGATCGTTCCTTCTTCTTGCTCTAGTCGTTTTCATTAAGTTCGTTTCTTCTTCTGATATTCTCTAATTCTTTTCGTTCGATTTGCTCTTTAATTCTTCTGAATATATCTAAGTCTTT